ATCTCTTTTTTTGTATGGTTGTTTAAAGGTGATTATTGTATTTAGTAGATTTCTTATTTTGTAAATGTCTTTGTTGTTATCCTTTTCTTGCAGTTCTATAAAGAATAGTGGTAACGGTTTCTTGGTTCTGGTTTCTAGAATATTTGTTATTTTTATAACTAAGTTATTATAGTTCTCAATTTCTGTTTTTAGTTCTTTTATGTCCGTTGATGGGTGCATATTTCTTAATACGACTTTGAACTTCTTGTCAGTTTTACATTGATAGGTGTAGCCTTGACTACCTGTTTGCTTGAGCGCCTCCATGATAGGGTGATACTTAGCCGTTGTAAGTGGTTGTATCTTGACCTGATGGTTTTTTAGTAACTTTAATTCGTATTGGTCTTTAGCGATTTCATCAAGCACTGTCTTTAGTGGCATGATGTTTTCCACTCCATCTGTAAAAATAGGAGGAGATTTGAGTTGCTGAGTTTTGGTAGAAGTACTATCATTATCATTATATATCTTCTGATCTTCCTCATCATTCAGCTTTTCATAAATGTTGCTCGTGCTTATTGGTTTGTTTAGCCAGTAGTCGTTAATTTGGGTTTGTCTTTTTCTAGTAGGTATGTCTGGACTGTTTCTCGTCCTTTTCTTATTTTGTGCTTTTTGCCATCCTTGATCTCGAGGTGAAATATCTTGATGTCTATCGTAAGCCTCCATAGTTATGAGTGGTTGTTACTTTGTAATTCGTACAGCCCGCTCTAAGCGTGGCTCCGCTGCTCTCGACGGGTAAAGTGCGCCTGCACGGGTTCTGCCGCCTGCCAGCTGAGCTCAAGTCCAGTGACAGTCGATGTATAGGTTAGGTTGAGAGTCACAGGTGGACAGAACTATTAAGATGTAAGGTGTGGGGCCCTTTCTCTGTGAAGAGGAGGGCCCTTGATTAGCTAGGCCGAGATCTGTAGACAGAACTGCCCCACAGGGGGCCAGGTTAAGGCAGAAACGGTTCTGTTATGTAGTGGAAACAACAAGCATGCAACCTTCTACTTACCCGGAAACGAAAGTGAAATTAATGATTAAATTAATAATTATTATTATGTAGGGAGACGAGAATAAAAAGAATAAAAGACGAATAAATAAGAGAATATAATAATGGGAAAGAAAGAATACAATAAAGAACAAGCAGAGAGAGAGAGAGGGGCGAGGGAGAGGGAGAGGGGAGAGAGGGAAAAAGAGGGGTAGGGAGAGGCAAGGAGGGAAGAAGAGAGAGAGAGGGATTTTTTGATTAATTGATCTTTATTAGCTTTCTCAGCTATTTGTAATACAAATCTAGTTTACATTAATTACAATATACTCCTTTAACATTCGCTTAAACGGCACAATTCTTTCATTCCGCTTTATTTCAGCTGGCAAGGCGTTATACATTTTCACTCCTTCGTAAAACATACTCTTTTGCGCACTCATTGTTCTGCGATGTTTTATTGCAATGTCTCCGGCTTGTCGCCTTTGCCTTTCACTCTCATTTCCCACAATTTCTAATCTATTTCTTAATTGCTCCGGTAACATCTTAAAAATCCGGTAAAATCTTAAAAATAAATACTAACTATCAATTTCCATTCATCAATGATTGTTTGAATCGCTGTTGAACACGAATACTGTTTTCTAAAACCCGACTGAGAGAGAGAGAGAGAGTGAGAGAGAGAGAGGGAGGGGGCGGGAGGGAGGGTGAGAGAGGGAGAGGGAGAGGAAGAGAGAGGGTGAGAAAGCGGGAGAGTGAAAGGGAGGGTAGGGGGAAGAGAGGGGGAGAAAGAGAGAGAGAGAGCAGGAGAGGCTGGAAGAGGGAGGGAGGGACGGAAAGGGAGAAGAAGAAGAGAGGGCGAGGGCGAGGGAGAGGGAGGGGAGTAGAGAGAAAAAGAGAGAGAACGAATATGTGTATATGTACACCCCATTACACCGCATGATCATACCGTTAAATAAGTAAACAAAGACGCGTGTCGGTATGCGGCATATATAGCGCTATTGTATTGTGTACGGATTGTCTCACTTTGTTGTCATTCAGACAGTGACAGAGGCAACAGCTCCATATGTTGTTATAGTATGTATCTCGTTATACGCGATCGCGAAAATTGTTAAAAGATATCTGAAACTCGATCTCTATGATAATTAATAATTAACGATTCATATGCGATTGCTATTTATCGAAGCAGATATTAATTTCGTGTGATTTATAGTTATATATGTATCAGCAGTGAAATCACACTAAAAAAAACTCACAAAGGTAAAAAAAATACGCCAAGTACATATCTAAAAAATAATCTACAAAAAATTTTTCCTAAAAAATAAGAAATAAAAACTAAATATGAAATCAATAGTTAACTAACCAAGTACTTAAAAGCAATTCAGTTTGTGAGAATTTGGAATTTGAAATCGTATTTGTCAAAAAATCAAACTTGTAGGATTGCTGGACCTCGCTTTACAACTTACAAAGTACATGCTACATTGTAAAGCGAGGTCCACCCTGCCTACCGTTGTAAAAATCAAGATTTATACATAGTCTGACAATGAAAAACTGGATATTTAAGTTAGTTTACAGAAATAGTCCTACGTATACTACACATATAAACTGAAATAAACACAAGTTTATATATATATAGGATGTTCAAAAATAAAATATAAGGGTAAATATAGCGAATTGGAGACCTGACCTTGACCTTGA